AATATCATATTATTTAATAGATGACAGGTCTTACATCACGGCGATTGTTTTAGCGGTGATACAAACCTCTCTGACGAGACTTAGATCGATATACATAAAAGGAGTTTGTTGTTATTCGAGACCATTGACGTAGCATGAATCTAATCTGTTTTGATATATTAGTTGAGTAATATTTTACAATATTATTTGGCATACATACCGCATAATGATCGGGCGCAATGGGGACCTAAAATGGCCGAATTAAATTCCCGTTTATCAGTGCCGATCTAATTGTATTCAAAACTTGTAAAAATATAATATAGTATAGACTCAATAATTTATTGTTTTAAAAAATGTCTATATCTATGTGGCGTATTCATCTTTCCAAAAAAAATCCTTTATGGGTATTTCGCCACTGCACTGCAAGAAAATCTACAAAATAAAATAATTATTTTTTGTAAACACTTCTGCGTTAAACCTAAACGGACGCTGCTTGTCAGAAGTTATGTTTACAGAAATACAAATTTGCCTAACAAAGAAAAAAAAATGCTTAACGTTTCGGAAAGTTATCTCTTTCCGTCGTCGGGAGCAAAAAAATACGAAGAATAAAGAAAAAACTATTTAAAATATTTAAATTGAACTATTCTAGAACACTTTACTTTTTAAAACAGATACGTCTACAAGAAACCGTTGACGTTCTGTTAAAATGACATTTTTAACTTGATATTTAAACTTCAAAATTAACAACTACTACCTGATAACAATTACTTAATAAGGTAAAACCAAAAAGCCCCAAATTTTCTGTATGATTATTTTTAAATTTTATGTATGTTATGTTTATTTATCTTGTTGTATCTATTGTTCTTTAAAATCAAAGAAGCGATTGCCATACATTACTAACATCTACAGATGCATGAGCAATAAATTTATTTTTATTAGATTGAATTAAAAAAGCCTCTTTTATTTTTCTTTTAGAGGCTATCGCTTCTTTCATTATAATTTTGGCGTTATAAAAATTTATTCTGTGCCCTTTGTCCCAAGAATGCTGACAAATCTTAGATTTGTGAAAATCTCCCTTTCTTAAATAATCTTTATGTTCTTTAATTCTAACATTTAAGGGCCTAGATGTTTCACCAATGTAAAATTTATCCCATTCACAGGGTATTTGGTATATTACATTTTTTGTTTGTTGTTCTGTTTCATTGGTTTAGTATGTGATAAAATGGATCTAAGTGTATTTTGTGTTTTGAAAGATGTTCGTATGTTATATTGTTTTCCTATCCTTCTTATTTTTTCCGAAACGCCTCGTATGTATGGAATTGTAAGTTGTATATATTGTGTATTGTTATCATTGTGTCTATGATTTGGGGTTTGTATTTCGTTTAATGTTTTGTCAATAAAATATGGTGGATAGTCGTTTTTTATTAATGTATTTTTTATGTGGTTTATATCTCTATGTTGTATTGTTGTTATATCTCTATCGAGTTGGTTTACTGAAATGTCGTCTGTATATATTATTTTGCCCTATCATATAAACTTTTTATAACAACTTTTTTACACTTATACTGTGATTAGATGTGAAATTTAAGTATCTATCTGTGTTTGTGGGTTTTCTGTAAACATCTAAAATTAGTTTATTTTGAAACTTTGACACTAAAATATCAAGAAATGGCAAACGATTACCTCTCTCTACTTCTAAAGTAAATTTTATGGTCGGTTCGCAAGAATTTACATAATCCAAAAAAAATTCTATTTCAGAAACGTTATGTTGCCATATTGCAAAAATATCATCAATATAACGCAGCCATGTAGCTTTTTTGAAAAACTATTTATTGTATTATTTTCAAAATCTTCCATAAAAATATTACTTAACAAAAGAGAGAGAGGTGATCCCATTGCCATACCGAAATCGTGTTGAAAATATTCATTATTTAATTGGAAACAAGTAGTTTTAACACAAAGTGTCAACAATTCCAAAATACTATCTATGTTTAATTTTGCTCTATCTATTAAATGTGTATCTTGTTCTAATCTATCCCTAACTATTTTAAGTGATTTATCTACCGGCACATTAGTGAAAAGACTAACAACGTCAAAACTAACCATTAAACTGTTAGGTGTATTAATTTTTGAAATAATTTTTGACCTAACACGATATTCATCCGCGTGTTCTAAAGGTAATTTTTGTGCTATATTTTCAATAGCAGAAGCCAAATCTAATTTTGAAACGTTTTTATCAGTTACGCTAAAATTTAAACCTTTTGATAAAACTAATTTTACAGAGTTAGATAAAACTCTTTTAGAAAGGCTAACTACGGTTTTGTTAATAAATTCGTGTTTATTTGTAATATTTTGATTTATATTTCTTTCATTAATCATGTGTGTAAATGAAGCATGTTAGTCAATCTGACGTATCTTAATTACTTTTGACAAGTAAGAGCAAAAATGAATGAAGTATCCAAATCATTTAAGGGACGAACTCATTCAACAACTGTATTCTTTGGCATTTGAGCATTTGATATGACCTGGAGATTTAGAATTATGAGTAAGATACATAAATGGGGTTTTCGTGGAAGCCCTTACCTATACTCATCACATCGTTTTTAACTGGAAGGACTTTTAGGGTACGTTTGGGAAGTCTCTCTACAACAAAGACATTGGAAAATGGTGTCCCCCAGGGGTCAACAATAATCTGTTTCTAATAGAATCATCAATGATCTAGTCGAAGAATGAATAAAAATGTTAAAAAATGGATATATGTTGATGATCTTGCTATAATCTGTGCCACAAAAATTGTTGGAAAAAGCAGTAGATATCTACAAGATGCCATAAACCAAGTTGTAAAAATTCCAGTGTTAATGGCTTTAAAATATCCAAAAGACCCATGTGCTGCATTTCAGCAAATTGCGTCGGCCACACTATCCTCCACTGCTTTTCATGAACAATAATTGTCCCCTTGAACTTACATCAACCAAACTTTATTGGACAATTGCCCTCTTGAACTTTAAATTTTGAATTGTCCTTGTAAGAGTGATCCATTGAGGGATCCCCTGTAATTGCATTGTTATCAATAACGAGTTGTACATGGCAAATGATCCTGGTAATCAATTCCTAGGAAAAAAAGAGCGAAAATGCAAGCAAAATTATGTGATTAGTTAATTCTATGTGAAATTCATAAATGATCGGTTTACTACATGTAGATATGTATATTATACAGGGTATAATAGCGGTGGTAATAATAGGTGTAATAAATGCATTTTATTATATTTCAAAGTTTATTAATTATTATTTATAAATGCGAGCTATGTGAGAGCATTCTTTAGCAGAGCTATAACAGAGTAAGTAAACCGACGAGTAGCGACAGTCCCGTTTTCAATTTTCTTTGCGGCTGCGCGAAATAAGTAGGTTATCTATCATATGAAGAAGCAAAGGTGCCACTGTTGCCATTTATCAAATATCTCTATATACTTTATTTCAAGTATACCTCAGGCAACGAATCGTTTTTTTAATTATTTATTAGCTGTAAGGTATTTTATACATTCAAATTTAGAAATAGGGATAAAACAAAACAAAAAAAATATGTATAAAACTTTATAATTAATTCCACTTTAAATTATGAGCAGTGTATACCATGTTTATAGGACCACTTCATAAGTTGAGCAGTTAAATACGTAGTCTATCTGTCAAACAGGTCAAAAGAGAGAGAAAGAAAATTTGGTCCCACCACATCAAAAGAGCGGTTTCTGTCGCTACTCGGCGATCTACTTACTCTGGCTATAGTTTGAAAAGCATTTAACAGCCGTACACCTGCTTTATATGCGAATTTTCTGTTTAAAGCTAGTCAGGCCAAGGAGACCACCCATTCGTCGACCGGTTTCGGAGTTATACTCCATCATCAGAGCGACTTTGGTAGTCCACTTCGACACTTCGACCTGGCAAGCTCCAAACAGAAAATACACGTCAAGTACGTTACAGTACTTGTCTATGGTGAGTTCTTAACGAAGTCGCCATCTAGCAACTAAATCGGCAACGAAACGCGCGCTAACGGCTCAATGGTACATAAATGCGTACGCATTCTGTAGCAGGTCTCCTTAGCCTGACAAGCTTTAAACAGAAAATTCGCACATAAACCAGGTGTACAGCTGTTAAGTGCTTTTCAATATTTATAAACATACCTATAGTATCTCGACATTTTACATTATTTTTAAAGATGTAACAAATTTCTAAACAGTACTGATACTAATATTAAAGTTGTTCATGTTCATATTAATTACTATTAATTATTAACTAAAAAACTTGATTTCTTTTTGTCTCTGTATAGTGTACAGTACAAAGTATATCTGTTTTGTCCCTGTACTGTAGAGTGTACATACAGTTACCAGAAGAATTTTGTCAGGACCGTGGTCGAACGTAACTGTAACCACAGTAAACTTAAAATTTGTTTTTATTTTACACAATCTCATCCACTTTCAATTTCACGACTATGTTATCTGTGATAATCTGTTTGAAAAAAATACAAAACAGAAATTATTACTCACAGGAAAAAATAATTAACACCTTTTAAAAAACACATATAATATGTAAAAAGTTCGAAGTATGCCAGGAACTTATTTCGTAATAAAGTGCCGTCGTATATCTTCAGATTGTGTTGCTGATCTAAACAGGGTTATAATTTTACGCCATAATGACCTGTTATTGCGGAAACATTTCCAAGGAAAACACGGCTGGCTTTTATGAAAAAGATGTACTACGTTAAGTAGGAAATTGTTAACTGGTCTCTATACATTTTTTGCCTTTTGTTTTATAATATTTACTTTAATTCATTATTTTTATTGGCAGTTTTTACTCCTTTAACAACATTTTTTTTAACTACACTGATCAGCACGAAAAATAAATCTCAAAATTTTCATGTATTTTACTTCGATATATTTTGATTATATTTAAAGCAATATTTGCAACTTTATTTGATATTTTTTTTTATTTTTTTATTTATTAGATATTGTTTATTTGATAATATAATGATGATAGAAGAACGATTGTTGGGGTTCGTAGAATGTTCTCAGCAACGTGATGCGTCAAGCTTGTGCACTTTGATAATAAATTTCATAGATAAATTGGGCCTAAGAAACTTTCCAATAATTGCACAAGCCTATGATGGTGCAAGCGTGATGTCGGGAAGAAACGGTGGCTTACAAGCAAAGATAAGGGAAATACATCCTGAAGCGATTTACATTCACTGTATGGCCCACAGACTTAACTTAGCTGTGGTTGACTCATGCAATGACATACAGGGAGTTAAAGAGTTTTTCAATATCTTGGAATCTTTATTTGTGCACTTTTCCCAGCCGTCAAACCATAAAACCTTCATTGAGACACAGAAGGCATTAGGAACCAAGACACTGGAACTCAGTAGGATTTCAGACACTAGATGGAGTTGTAGGAGCAATAATTGCCAAGCCGTTAAAAATAATTATTCCTCAATTATTGTGGCTCTTAAATATGAAATTGAGGAAAATTCCAATAGAAACGTTGTTGAGGCGATGGGTCTTTTAACAAGCTTGACTACAAGCAAGTTTCTAGTTAATTTAGTTCTGCTGACTGACATTTTGTTAACTGTAAATGTTTTGAGCAAACAACTACAAGGAAAGGAGAGTACATTAGGGGCATCCACAGACATCATAAATGGAACTATAAAATGCTTGGAAGAGAAAAGGAATGAGGCATCATTTAATACTTTATGGCAAGAGATTAAAAAAATAGCACAAGAAAGTGATATTATTTTAGATATTGGAAGAACTTCCAAGAGAAAAAGGACAATGCCACCTAATTTGACTGATTTTGCAGTAATGTCGACTATAGGACGGGATGAAAATGAAGATGCTTGTACTAGTTCTGAAACATCTTTGAATGAAATAAAGAATTTTTGGCTTAGAAATGCTCATTACCGTATACTTGACAGTGTAACAAATCACTTGAAAATCCGTTTTTCCGAAGAGAGTCAACGTCTAGCTATTTCAGTCAATAAATTTTTGGAAATGGATCCAATAGGAAGCCTGTTCTTCATAGAACACTACAAAAAACTATTTAACATTGATACGGAGTCTCTTAAAGCGGAGATGCTTGTTATAAAAAATTGCCCTGATAACAAGATCGGTGATAAGTTGTCAAACCTCAAATCCATTGTCACAAAAAATACATTTCCACATACATTCCGACTGCTACAAGTAGCATTGATTCTTCCAATTGGATCAACTACTTGTGAGAGGTCTTTTTCAACCATGCGTCGCATAAAAACATGGTTAAGGAGTCGAATGAGCCAAGATAGGTTTAGTAAACTTTCAATACTAAACATCAATAGTGATATGGCGAAAAATATTGAACATCAGGAGATAATTGATGGATTCTCAAAATCCGGAAACAGAAAATTACAACTATTTTAATGCGAAGGTCTGGGTGTTTCTTATTTTATTTTTTAGTCATATTTAATATCTGTATGTTTATTATTAAAATGTATATATCAGTTATACTTAGTTCTGTTTAGTCCATGTTTATTCGATATTGCCACTAAAGCATTTAGTATTAAATACTGTGTTTTCATCCTAATCTTACCTAATGTTATGATCAAAAGATGCCGGGGCTTAAGCCCCCCCCCCCCAAAATCAGAGAGCTAACTTCGCCAATGCGGCTTTCCATCCTGGCTTTTTTCTCTCCCTGCCGGAAAAGAGGTGAGAGGTTCTCGCTCCCTCTCTTGTCCTTGATGGAGATGAGTCAGGTTGTTTCTTGGTTTCTTTACTCTCCCCTTTTCGGAGGAGTGTTTTCGCTTTTGCTTCTTCTGGAGCAAGTTCTTCGTGGAGCAGTCGGAGGTATCTCCGTGCTTCTGCTTCGCTAAGACCTACTCTCAGATGATCGTATAGCCCGCTGGGTTGACCCAGGCCGGGTAGACGAAACGGTAGCTTATGTCGCTTATTGGGTCTAGAGGTAGGCTTCCGACCCTTGCTGGAGAAGGTAGTAGGTTGTGTGCAACTTGTGGAAGATGATCCCAAGCAATTGTCAGTCGACCCTCCTGTAGTTTCCTTTGGATTTGGTCCCTTGGAATTTTCATTTGTAATGTTCCCAGTGTCGCGAGGGGGCTTCCCCACAGCTTCACCGGTGGTGTTTTTAATACTGGATCTCATAGTGTTACCACGAGTCGCTAGGGATAGTCGGTCCATTCAGTCGATTTGGTAGTCGGTTTGAAATACTTACATTAGGAATACATTAACTGACGATTGGTTTTGTTTAAATATAAAAAAATATATACTTTTTCTATAAGTAGTTTTAAAATTACTTAGTCAAATTTAATCTAAATCAATATTATTATTGAAGACTTTTTTTAAACAGTCCAGTCTGGATAACGTTGCCGATGTTCTCGAACTATTTGTAACAAATACTGTAGTTGCTTTTTATCTTTAGTGAGGTTATTGTTATATTGTTCGATTAATGCAACGCCTCTTTCAGCTACATTAGACCAAGTTGAAATTTCATTTTTTAAAAAATCGCTCGGTAAATCAAATGATGATCTTTTTGATACAAAATTACTTAAATCTTTTTGTAAAAATAATTCGTGTTCATTATCGAGTACTTGATACCGCTAATTTATTGTTGTACAAGCTGGTCGAGAATCAATTTTCTTAATCATTTTTCTTTTTATATCTACGGAAACATTGATGGAATCAAATAAAGAGACAACAGCTAATTCCTCATTTAAGTACCACAGGTGGCCACTCATATAGTTACAATGACTTTTAAAACATTTACAGACTATTGGATGAACAGAAAAACAATTTAACGTGATTTATGTTTTCATAACAAAATTGATAATAAATCTTTAAACTATTCGATTTTTCTTTGGACGACTACCGAAAATTATTAACAATTATTGTCTAAGAAACTAAATTAAGATAAACATGAATTTTTTGGGTGATTTGTTCCAATAAAACCATCAAATTTGCTGTAATGCATCAAAAACCTTAAAATTTGCGATAAATTCAACTTTGGCCTCAAATAACTCTTAAACTATTAGGTTTCTCGAATAATCACAAGCGACCTTTTTTGTAAAACGTTATTGAATTAATTATTGAATTCTCTACAAAAATAGGTAAAAGAATCTTTTTCATGACACACGACAGGCTAGCAATAAAATTCATAAGGTGCAGAAAAAAATCTTTCTACGGTATTCTTATGGAAAATAGAAAACCGTGATGTAGGCAGTCTTAATATTAATATTTAGGGCTCAAATTGTAAGTGGTATAAAAAATATTTATGTTTTTTTTTATTTTTTTGAATCACCCTAATATTTATGTTATTTACAATATTAATATCAATATAGCATTAAACCAACGAAGGAAGAAAAGTATTCGTTCTTCGAAAATGATCTAAAAAATTCCAGTCTAAAAGGATATGGTTAACAGGAAGTTTTAGAAGTATGAATTTCTGGGCAGACGTTCCTTACGTAACGTAATTTAGTAATAAGCTTTCTTTTTGAAAATTCGCCCTCTAAGGGGGTAAAATGAGGAGTGGACGTTCAGAAAAAATCTGCCCTAGGAACATGGAAATTTGCATAAAGATTACTTATGTAGCGTAATTCAATAGTAAGAACGATTTTCGGAATTCATTCTTTAAGGGGGTAAAATTAAGGGTAAAAATTTGGAGGAATATGTTTTATGTAAAATCCGTCCTAGCAGTACGTAATTTTAGGCAGAGGTGGTCCCTTGAGTAGTAAAAGTGCGAGGACTTGCAAGGATTCCCAAGGAGTACTCAAAGTAGTCTCAGGATAGTTTTTTGGAAATTAATTTCCTAAGAGGGTGAAATTAGGGGTGAAGATTTAAAGAGAGAATTGTTCGAACAGTTCTAGAAGTATGAAGTTTTGCGCAGGGGTCTCTTAAGTAGCGAAACTAAACAGTTAAAAACCATTTTCGGAAATGCATTTCCTATGGAAGAGAAGCTGGAGGTGAAATTTTGCATATAGTTTTTTAAATTAGTTAGGAGTGTGAAATTTTTTACAGGCGATTCTTAAGTGACGAAAGTGGATTTTAGACATTCATCTCTTAAGAGGGTGAAATAACAGATGAAAATATGTTCTAAAATTTGTTAAAATCGGATTTAGAAGTATAACAACTGAAATATGAAGCTAAAGTAATAAACATAAATTATTTTCAACAAAATTGCAAACCTTGAATGTACATAACTTTTTTAAATACAGTTCATGCCAATACAGGATCTGCATTTGTCGCACATGGATCGTGCGGAATTTGATTCATGAGATTTTTGTTTTTTGTCATTTCTTCGTTGACATATGGTTGACATATACCACATCTCTTTCTTTTCTGGTATTGATTATTCAATTTTCTCTCTTCTATAAGTAAGAGATTCAGAATCGGAGTTATGGTTACTCTTCGGAGAAAAATCATTGTTTCAATGATCTTCATCTCACTTAAGCGTTCATCTCACTTAAAAGTTCATCAAACCACTCAAAATTAATGTTTCCTCAAAATGAGTGTCCCAGTGAGGCACACTTTTTAGACTACTCACCATCCTAATAATGAAACATTCTTGGCGTGGTGGTGCCACACAGACCCCAATGAAACTTTAGGTAGCTAGTAGGAACCCCGCTGGTAGGAACAATACGTGATAAAATCAAGTGCGCCTTTAACAGTTGTATATTGGTACCCTAACTTAAAGGTAAATGGCGCGGCGAGGCCTAATTCTTAAACGTAAACATTTTACAGAGGTTTAAATAGTGCTTGGGGTCCGCTAGACCCCATAACGGCAATTGAGGGTTAAGGGATCTCTGTGAAAAATTTTATACTCCTAGTCCTAGAACGGATTTTACATAAAAATTATACAAATTTTCGCCCCTAGTTTTACCCCTTAAGGAATGAATTCCGAAAATCTACATAAGAAACCTCGGTCCAAATTTTCATACACATAGGACAGATTTTTTTTCAGAACGTTCACACCTCATTCAATAAAATGACATCTCAATCAACACCTCAATAAAATATGGATAAAAAAGTGAGTATCACTTATTTCCAGAATTAAATGCAAATGGGCTATCCATATAATGCGGAAGAAATATTATTATAAGACCTTTAAAAGCCAACGTACGGTCTCTTCTTCTTGACCGGAATTATTAATGCACTTTTATCGATTTTCTGAAACTCAGTTGTGTTCTCTGCTGGGTGTTCCGCAATAACAGATTATTATGTTGGAAAGTTATAACCTCAATCCAGAACAGCGGAATAATCCCAAGATATACAACGGCATTTTACGGGGTAAATACGTTATTAGCTCGTGATTTACTCCAGTCGCTGGCGAGTACACTGTATATTCTATGCATTTGAGACTCCATTTTCGGGATTTCGAAAGAATTATGAATTTCAAAAATATGGTTAAAAAATTGATATTTTTAGTGTCATTTTAAGAAAAATCGTATGAAAGCGTAGATGAACTTTGAGCCGGAGGTAATGACACAATTTTAAACAATGCCATAAACCCGTTTACTATTTACTGTATAATTAATCCCATCAAAAACATAGAATATAAATGCCAAGTCTCGCAATACAATTCTTCCACTATAAAAAGTTGTGTATAAATATATAATAGTTTTGTGACAAATTGTTAGTATCAATATTAGACATCATTATTTCTGTAATAATTATAATGACTTGGCAATTGCACGATATGATATATCTGCTAATTTAAAAAAATATTCTTGAGATTTACTTAGTAATCGAAACGGTAGATTAATCTTTTTTAATTATGGTGCCGTTAATTGCCAAGTCATTATAATTATTTTTAACTAACAATTTTTAACAAAATTACCTTTTATTGAATAGGTGCTTAAAGAGAAACTAAATAAAATAAACTGACTTGGTTTTACATGAATTTACAATCTTGCTAAGAAACAACAGCACAACAGAGTTTCCAGACGTTCACCCGTCCATCCACTCGCACCATCTAACGTCGCTTAACTTCGATGATCTATCGGGTACCGGTATTTCGACGTAGCTGATCCGTTGCCCAATATTAATTAATGTTTAATTTACCATAATTATTCTTAGATAATGACGTAAACTCAAGAAAATATAACTTTATCAAAAATACTATTTTGTAGTGTAGTAAATAATGACTACAGAGCATCACATCACAAAGTTATACAAATAATTTTGAATGTATTAACTCAATAATATTGCTCTAAAAAGTCTTATTTTGATTTGATTTTAGTTAATTTTTAACTTCGGATTGTAGAAGAAAATTATTCTTTTCATATATACGTTTAGTAAATAAAAATATTCATAATATATCGATTACTAACATAAAAAACAGAGGTTAAAGTTTTGCATGCATTAGTTTTGCTAAAAACAACTGAAATACCCTCGCGTGTTTTACAAGGAAAATA